AACCCTGGTTATATTCTTGAGGCGAACATGCAAGCTTTGAAAATGTGCCTGCAATATGATAGTCAGGGAGTTTGCTTTGACTAACAGTCACCCACCCCAACATACTACATGCCATTCTGAAAGCTTAGCTTCCAATTTCCATGCCCAAGAGAAGCTAAGATGTCACTTTTCTGAAAACGTCTGATCCATCTCCAACATATATAAAAGCCTGTCCCACTCACAAAATATGATTTATTTTAAAGCTGAGATTTGAATATCAGCTAACAAGAGGATATAGTCCACAGATTCTGCAATGCTCAGTTGGAAAAAAAAAACCTGTAATAGATTCAGAACTTGAAGGCTGAACTACATAATCATCCCACACTAGAATTACAAAGCAAGATAAATTCACAAACTTTGACTGAAGAAGGGGATTCTTAATGTAACATTAAGCTACTGAATAGTTCTTATTAAAGGAAATGGCCTTGCAGCTAGAGGTAAATCTAGCAACTGACTACAGAATTATATTTTATGATGGTCTTGGTTTCAAAGCATTGAAATTATGCTGAAATAAAACCTGTAGAATGACTTAAAGAAACAGCACATTTTCAAAGTCATGAATAGCTTCTTTTGATTGTAAGCAAAAGATCTCCTTTTGTAATAACAAAACAAAACCCTTCCAATTATTCAAAAAAGCTTAGCATTTCCATCTGCCAAGCACTACCTCATTTTATATTTTAATTGTGATTCCTATGTGTATATAAAAGTGGAGATTATATACTCATGAACCTGAAGAGAAATATCAGCAAACTATATGTCTGCCGGAAACCAACAGACTGGTTGGGGAGAAGAGTTTTACACAACTGGTGACTAATAGCTGGTAGATTTTAGACGTGAACTAAAAGCCACTGCCTGATATTAAGTCTTAACATCATACATAGTCAGAGCTAAGGAATCTCTATAAATGGCATTTGTTAATGTTAAAGCAGCTCTTAGTTTGATATCCTAAGAAGACGATGGAAGAAACTGGAGAATTCCAAAATAATTGTCTATCTCTACCCACGTAGAGTCTGGGTGATAAGACTTCAGTATACTCCAGAAAGCCACAAGTCCACCTTGAATTCTGTTGACCCTTATCTACTGCCAATTTTTTTTGACCATTAATGATTCAGATTCTTACAGAGAGCTCTGGCATACAATAAACCTACATTCATTCGAATTGCCTGGACTCCTGATTTCCTGCGCTTGACCATGCCATTATCCAAATACTTGGGGAAAATGACATTTATTCCGCACAATACTTTGAATGTTCGAAGCTAAGATAATGGTGCAGCTCTTAAATGGTGGTTAAGCATTAGGTTTATGATCCCGCACAGACTGCCAAAAAAACAGAAAGACCGAATAATCAACTTTAGCTGTGCCCAAGTATAATATACTTAATGCTGCTTTCCATTTAGAAATGTTATTAGAAACATTTGACTGTTTTAATCTTTTTCATAAAACTAGGGTTTTGCCATTGTTGGGTTAACTCCATCTGTTCTGGAAAGTATCTTTAAAACTAATTTAGAGAACGATGCATTGAAAAAAAAAAGATTAAAGAAGGCCAAGGAAGTGATTAAAGAAAGTGAGTGAAATCTCAAAAAGCACCTCTTTATTAGGTGCTAACAAAAGTTTCAAGCTGGTAGCTCATTTTATGTAACTCACTATCTCAGCGATTAGCCCAGGGGTCTTCAAACTTGGCTCTTTTATGACTTGTGGACTTCAGCTCCCAGAATTCTTCAGCCAGGAAGTCTACAAGTCATAAAAGAGCCAAATTTGAAGACTCCTGTTCTAGCCAGACTTAACCACTCTGTTATTGATCATTTTAGCAACAAGATATCACCGGAAAGAGGATATTTTATGAAATAATTTGTTGTTGGGGGGATTCTCAGCAAAGTGCCAGAACAGTTGAAGACAGTGTGCAAATGCAAAAAGAGTGTAGTAACTGGATAAAATTATATGGTAAACAAATTAAGCACGTGAGGTTCAAATTCAAGGAGTCAGCTGAACAAAATATGAGAGATGTGAGCTTTTAATTAGTTTTAGGAATTTATGGGAGCCTAATGATGGCACTGTGTTCTAATTATTAAAAAAAATTACAGGTAGTCCCTGACTCAAGACACCATTGAGCCCCAAATTTCTGTTACTAAGTGAAAACATTGTTAGATGAATTTTGCTCTGCATTATGCCCTTTCTTGCTACAGTTGTTAAGTGAATCATTGCAGTTGTTAAGTTGATAACACGGTTGTTGAGTGAATCTGGCTTTCCCATTGACTTTGTTTGTCACAAGGTTGCAAAAGATGATCACATGATTCCGGGACACTGCAACTGTCGTAAGTATGAGTCAGTTGCCAAGCAAATGAATTTTGATCAGGTGGATGCCACAACAGCCGTGTGAAAAACAATCATAAATCACTTTTTTCAGTCCCTTTGTAACTTCAAACGGTCGCTAAATTAACTGTTGTAAGACAAGGACTATCTGTACAACAAAGTCAGAAGTGTACACATCACTATCTGTTAGACACAGCAGAACAGATTTAGACACTAGAAAATCTGTTTCAGTTTTTTAAAAAGGTGCAGCAAAAAACAAACAAACAAGCCCAACCTAATACAAAAGACAGAATGGTGCTGAATATCAAATCAGTAAATTCTGGAGAAATAGGAAGAAAAACTGCAGAAAAAAATATTTGAGCAAATTTATCCACAGAACAGAAAGTGTACATCCTAAAAATGTGTTACCAATCATGTTCAATTTTTGTGTGTGTGCGTGAGAAAACAGCATCTAGTCCCCAAATTATTTCTTTCCAAATCCCAAAGATTAAAATAGCCAGGAAAAGGCACTGTTTAGTTGAAAACAAAGGGGGAAAATGCTTCAAGTTTCTAAATTAAAAGTGAATGCATGGTTTCAATGAACCACAAGAAGATCTTTCCAATCTGGCATTTTCCAGATTTGTTGAGTAAAATTCCTAGAACTTTCAATCAGCACAAATGGAAACATGCTGCGTTTCCTCCCAAAATATTTCTTAAATGCTGCGTTCAAATATGTATTCATTCCCTAGAGCAAAGTTGCATGCATATTCAACAATCTGTTTTCTCATATTAGAAAAAAATGCAAAATGATTTGGAACTTTTATAGCATTAATAGCAATTAAGTACACGTGGTGCCAACCAGACATCCTACAAATGTCATTTTGTACACATGGTTTCATTTTTCTCCTGTATTTTTAACAGAAGGAAAACTTTTAACAAAAATCTCTACGAGATGCTCATTAAATAATTTTAAACTACTAAAAACACAGGGAGAGTGTGAGTAATGTATCATGCTAACATGATTTTTAGAAGTAGCAAAAATTGGCTTCTTTGTGCATAAAAGAGGTGGGCTACATTGTTCCTTTCTTACCTGACATAACTAGGTTTATAAATTTACCTCTATCAGTAAACACTGTAAAAGACAAGCTTGGGGAAGGAATGAGAAAATGAAGAATATTCAGGAGAAGCTTGCAGCTTGTTCAGCTACTAAAACAATGCCTGATTTTACATTTGTGTTAGCAAGATTTTTGTCTCTGAAATCAATTCACCTAAGTGATCAACCTAGAAGTAAGGAGAAATTTTCTGACAGTGAGAACAATTAACCAGTGGAACAGCCTGCCTCCAGAAGTTGTGAATGCTCCAACACTGGAAGTTTTTAAGAAGAGACTGGACAGCCGTTTGTCTGAAATAGTGTAAGGTGTCCTGCCTGAGCAGGGGGTTGGACTAGATGACCTCAAAGGTCCCTTCCAACATTATTATTATTATTATTATTATTATTATTATTATTATTATTATTATTATTATTATTATATCAAATGGATACTGATTATTTGGATGTAACATTCTCAAACTGAACAAAACCTATTTTATAACCTTTTTTCTGAAGTCATCTAATTTGGCCATGTTCAACAAAGTCTGGAGATGTGGGACAAACTGCTTGACACTTTCTTCGGCAAGACACAAGGGTGGCGTCATTGCACAACGTATATGATCACAGTGCTGACTGGAAGGATCTGGTCTGGTTACAGAAGATCTGGCCCTGCAGCTTCTCCTCCGTTTTTCATCATGCTCTCTTTCCGATGGGACCAACCGCTTCAACAGGTCGAAAGGCAGAAACCGTGAATTAAAGAGGAGTCTGAGCCTGCTGGAAAGGAAATCCCCACAAAAATCTGGATTGACACCCACCGTTCTGTTAAGACAGGTAGTCCTCAACTTGCAACTTTCATTTCGTGAACGATCAAGGTTAAAACGGCACTGAAAAAAAGGACTTATGACCATGGGTCACCTTTCCAACCGCTGCCACGTGATCAGAATTCGGGCACTTGGCTACTGGCGTGTCTTGATGACCGCCGCAGGCGTCCCACAGTCACGTGATCCCCTTTTGCGACTTTAGGACAAGCAAAGTCAATGGGGGAAACCAGATTCACTTAACAATCGTGTTACTAACTTAGCAACTGCAGTGATTCGCTTAACAAAAAAAAGTCATAAAATTGGGAAAAACTTACTTAAGCCATGTCTTGCTTAGCAAAAAGAAATGTTGGCCTCAGCTGTGGTTGCAAGTTGAGGACTACTTGCAACTGCCAATTAGGGAAATTAAGGGAATTAAGGGAAAAAAAAGGGAATTAAGCTATTTTCCAAAGCACCTGAAGGCGGACAAGAACCAACGGGTGGAAACTAATCAAGGAGAGAAGCAACCTAGAACTAAGGAGAAACTTCCTGACAGTGAGAACAATTAATCAGTGGAACAGCTTGCCTCCAGAAGCAGTAAATGCTCCAACACTGGAAGTTTTTAAGAAGAGACTGGACAGCCACTTGTCCGAAATGGTGTAGGGTTTCCTGCCCGAGCAGGGGGTTGGACTAGATGACCTCCAAGGTTCCTTCCAACTTTACTAATATGAACCCCCGCCTCCAACCTAGAGCAAATGTTGGCAAGAGATTTCCCGTATACATACTTGTTACTTCCTGCAAGAAATCCAAACAAGGCCGGCTACTTCCAGATATACTGATTGAAACCGCCAAGGGAGTCTGTCCTTCATAGTTCCTTGTGTTGGTATCCGCCCCGTAATTGTACAACATCTGCGCGCAGAGGACGTCGTCCCTAAGAGCAGACAAGTGCAACGGCGTCTGTCCGTCTTCTAAACGCCCCAAGTTCGTATCCGCTCCTCTCTGGAGGAACATCCGGCAATAAGTGTGATTGCTTTTGATCACGGCATAGCGTAACAGGAAGCCATTCTGAATGTCAATGTTGGCGTTGTGATCGAGGAGGATTTTGACACAACTGGACCGTTCGCGGATAATGGCGAGCTGAAGTGGTGTGGTTCCCTTGTCGCTAAGCGGATCAACTTCAGCCTTGAACTCCAGCAAGAGTCGGACAAAGGAGTCTCTTCCATAATGAGCCGCCACATGAAGGGGAGTCCAACCATCGTTGCTCTTTGCGTTAATAATATCGACACGATAGTCTGATTCCAGCATGAGGCGTGCAATCCGGGCTCGGCCGTGCATAGCTGCATAGTGTAGAGCAGTGAAGCCGCCAATCAGGTCTTTCACTGTAGGATCCGCTGGAGTTTTAAAAAGTGCAAGAAGTTAAGTGTCAGTAAAAGCGTATAAGAAAAGCAATTCAAAATAGAACTCCCCCCCCCACAAGGTTAATCTATAAATTCATCTTTCCAAACAGACGTGACGTGCCACAAATGCTAGCACTTTTAAGACCTGGGAAATTATTGCCATCCATTATTGTTATTTTTTTATATACTTCTTTCCAACTGAAACCAAAGGTTTTGAAAGTTTGCATTTTTCAGTTTCGAAAGATTAAAATGTTTAAAGTGTTAAATCCTTGGTGCCTATAAAGCAATTTCCAATATGCATCTTCCAAGTTAAGCAACATTGTGCATATTGGAAATTGCTTTATAGGCACCAACGGATTTAAGACTGGGGTCTTCAAACTTGGCCCTTTTATGACTTGTGGACTTCAACTCCCAGGATTCCTCAGCCAGCCAGAATTCTGGGAGTTGAAGTTCACAAGTCATAAAAGGGCCAAGTTTGAAGACCCTTGTTTTAGGGGGTTAATACTGTATAAGGTAAAGAAAGCCCTCTGTAATCTATGCAATTGCAACACATGTAAGCTATATGTGAGTTCAGATCGTCTCGATAAAGGCTGTCTTCTATAAAATGAAAATCACCTAGTGTTGCCGTTTCACAAAATGTTATGCTTTGCAAGAATGCAATCATCCAATTTTGAAGACGGGAAAGCAGGATAGGGCAAAATGTCAACATTTCAAGAGCAACAGCTAAGTATTCCTTCCCACACGGAAATCTGGATTCATGAAATATTTTAAAAATTACCAGATGTATAGACCTAATACCATCCTGTCACGTGTAAATGGCTAACGCTATTTATATGGTACCTGGCACTCAATTTTTCCCACTTCTGCTCATGTTATTTGAACATAAAAAGTGATATAAAACCTTGGCCAGGACAGTATGTGGACATAATCATGCAATATTACAGAAATCTCAACCATGAATACCGTTTTAGGTGGAAAGGCAGGATATCATTAAACAAGCGAACTCCTGTTTAATGGAACATTTTATTTGAAATATTCTCTATTTCAGCAAGTGGTTAAAATTGCTTTCCAGATAGTGAGAAATATTAAAATCACAACCCTATTTTATAGCCAAAGAAAATAACTTACATTAACAATTTTTGTACAGACTAACTGTGAACTGGAATTCATCTTGTTTAAAAGCTTTCCCTCTGCTTAAATAAACTAGTGTTAACTTGTATTAAACATCCCACTGTGACATCAATGAATGTCAGTATCTTCACTGCTTTTCTTGGCATTTTTTTTTCATAGATAAAAAGAATCTCTGTAGTAAAATTTAATATCACTTAGTTGTAAAATCTGACATCTATTTATTTTAAGTTAACTCAAAGGGAGTAGAAAATAATCTGGCTGATTAAGTGGGATCTAGGTGAGGTGGTCCCTGAACAATCTTTTATCCAAATTTATAGACAAAATTTCTACAGAAATCCTACAGAAGAGAAAATACGTAGCTCAGGGTTGAACTGTAAAATCCTTGGTGCGCTTATCGTATTACAAGTTACCTAGCTGGGTACACATCATTTGCAAACTTACAACCAGGTTCAATGAGCTCCAAGGATTCCATAGTTTAGAAATCCTCAAAGGAGATAAAGAATAACGGAATCTGGAAAATTAAATGATCTAATTATACACACAAAGGGCAAATTTAAGGTAAAAATCAAATGGAAAAGAAAAGCAACCTAATTTCATGAGAGACAATGACTTAAGATGTTTTGGTGTGCTAAATTGGCAAATCAAATCAGACAAATTGTCACCTATAAACCAATAAACAGCAGCCCGTCTCAACAAATGATTCTATATGTGGTAAACAGTATTTATGCACAGACAGACCCACACACTAAAATACACAGAAGCTGAGAAAACCACAACAAACATCGACAGTCAGGTCTTTTTGCATACTTGGGACCCAGGACTAAGCAAAATATGATATAGATACTAATGGTCTGAAATTGTCAACTGTTTTCATCAGGAATAATTAAGAACACATGAGTTAGTTTTGGAAAGTGCAGCTACAGTAGAATAACAAAATGCCAAAGAAGCTCATGGTTGCCCTGTGTGAATTAAGGACCCATCTAAGGCCCCCATCTAGAATTTGCATAGAATTCTGAAATGCTCAGAGGTAAATTTGAAAAATATTCCATCTATCTGAATTTGAGACAATACACCTGTGAAGCCGTGCCAACTTTACAGTTCTATTGTGGCAAATTCTGAACTAAAAAGCATTGGATAGCACAGATATCAGAGAGTACCTGAAACCATTTCCAGAGCTCCAGAAACCAGCTATTCACCAAAAATATCAGATATGAAAAGCATAATTTGGAAGAGGAAGAGAAGGATACTTCATATCTGTTTTGGAAATATTATACTGCCATCTTCTGGTCATATTCCACATGATGATTGTTAAAAATGACACTACCCATATCTTTTGAGTTAAATTTAAGTCCAGGCGACATCGATGAACTATATATTTTCTGGCAAAATCAAGGAAATAATTTGCAACTGCCTTCTTTTGTTAAAAAAACCCAGTGTTTATAACCAGCTTTTCTCAGAGTTATACTTCCAAATAAAAACCATGTCCAATTACATTAGCTTTTCAAGATCAGCCAAAATTGGCTAAATGTTGCTACACAAACCTTTGAGAATGATTTAATTTTATATACGTGTGTAGCACAAAGTTCTGTTAATAAAACCCAAGTGAAATACCTTCCTTTATCAATAAGCAATTTCTGTTCATGTAACGCCCCGATTCTCTGTGGAAATATTATATAGTATTTGTCCAGAATTTTATCGGGTATCCTGCTTGGGGCAGGGGCTGGACTAGAAGACCTCCAAGGTTCCTTTCAACTTTGTGGCTCTGTATTTTGCTTCCCAGACCTCTTCTTTTATCCTCAGTTGAATAATCAACACCAACTACCTCTTCATCCATAAATGGGACATTATTTATAAATTTAACTGGAGGATGCAGAGATTAAAGAACAGAATCTCTATTTGTTGTATCTTTAGAAGACTTTTATTATTTCATTTTATTTTATTTGTTTACAAATGCAACTTAAAGCAAAGAGAAATAGACTCTAATAGACATTGGAAAATTATTGAGAAATCTAAAACTAAATGCTATTGCCAGAACAATGACAATTCCATATGGCATTAATTTAGCAGAACTGAATTAAGAAGCTAAATTGTTCTATGAACTTACTCACCTTTGTTTTGTTCTGCTACTACAGATACATTTATGTGTATTTGCTAGAAGTGATTAGTACCCTACACCCAAGAATGATTTTATATGTCAGGCCATCTAAATTTACATTACAAATTTAACCACAATATAATTTATAATATACAGTAAGATATTAGCCATCTACTAGAACCAGTCCCTGCAGAATTATGTTGTGAAATGAGTTAGTTTTTCTTTTGTACAATACTGGAAACACACAACAAAGGAGTGCCATCTTGTGGTCGACTCTGAAGTCACATAGCTTGTCTGCTGTTTTTTTTTTCCCCTTTCCACACCCTATTACAAATCTAACAATTTAGAAATTAAATTCTATCTAGATCATGCTGGAAGTGTAAACAGCAGGAAAAAAAGAGAGAGAGAATTCTATTTTTAAAAAAGGAAAACATTTAATCGCCAAGCAACCATAAATTCCTCTATTAGGTCAACTCACCTCCATGTTCAAGAAATACACGAACACATCTTTCCTTCCCTCTTGCCGCTGAGAAATGGAGCAAGGTCCAGCCATTAGCATCTCGGCCATTTGGAGAGTAGCCCTGCTCTAACATTTTGCGCACCGTGTGGACATCCCCAGCGGCCACTGCCGCCTGAATCTGCAACTCTTCCTGTAGCTCAGGGTTCCTCCGACAATGGTGATGTAACATCCTCGCAGAATCTGCCTCCTAAAGAAGGGTCATGAAGTCTCACCAGTCACCTTAAAGTGACAAAAGAATGAAACACAAATAAATCATTGGGCGTTGGGAGAGGGGACGCTCCTCCTGACTGTCAGCTAGAGCAGTGTTTCTCAACCTTGGTCACCTTAAGACCTGTGGACCAACTCCCAGAATTGCCCAGCCAGCCATTCTCCTAAGTCCACAGGTCTTAAAATGGCCAAGGTTGAGAAACGCTGAACTACAGCATCAGCCACATCCATTAAAATGAGCTGAAGAGCTGTACACCGTGACCTCTAGCCCGACGTTTTCCATAGCCCATAGCAACAGGAAAATCCAACTGGGAAGACAAAGAGACCAACAGAATACCAACAACGTAATTTATATAAGTGATTACAGTAGTGGCCAAAATTGTGGAAACCTTTTGGGAAAAGTGAACTTTTGAGGTTTGATGGCTAATAACACCACTTTTTTGGGGAGTAGTACCATAAAATTATATATCAATGGAAAGATAATTTAATCAAGAATGTAATGCCACAAAGTTTGTTCAATTATCTGTACTGTATTCTATGAAATGTTATAGCCAAGTAACCAGAAAAAGGAAGCACAACTTGTTTAGGTTGATGTCAGGTAGCTTTCCTTCATCTGACTGTAGCCAATGAGCGTGAATGTTTAGAGAGCCAATCAGGTGTCATTTTGTTTTGGCAATGAGCCAATCAGATCACAGTAGGATTTGGTTATTGACGTCCTGTATTGAAGCTGAAAGGAGGACATTGGTCAGTGTGTTATGTGATGGCTATCAAGTTGGTTGAGGTTTTTTGTGTTCTTTCATTTAGTGAGCTTGTAAAAGGTAATAACATTAAAGTAATGGTGCAAAGAAATTAGAAGAACAATTGGTGGAAACTTAACCAAAGGTGGTATTTCTACTGTACACTTTTCCCAAAAGGTTTCCACAATTTTTGGCCACTACTGTATGTCAGCTTAAGTAAGTAGCCACAAATATGTATTGTAAAGAGCCAAGACTGTTCCTATCTTCAATTCTGGTTTGAGACAAGTAACTTAGGGAGGGTAAGGACAGCAAGATCCTACTGCACGAATATAAAGCTTTCAAGCAGTTGTCTCTAAGGTTCTGACACAGAAATAAATAAATAAATAAATAAATAAATAAATAAATAAATAAATATGTAACAATTCAAGGCTCAAGCCAACTTTGGCAGGGTAACAGGCTAAAAACAGATTTGCAGGGAAGAGACAAAATAAATGATCTGGTCAACAGGAGCAATCCACCCCCAAGGAACTAAGGAAAGGAAGGTGTTTTTTCTCCTTCCCCTATAATGTTACAGGTAGTCCTCAACTCACAACAGTTCATTTTGTGATCGTTCAAAGTTACAACACTGAAATGACTTATGACCATTGTTCACACTTACAGCCGTTTGCAAAATCCCCGTGGTCATGTGATCAAAATTCAGACACCTGGCAAACGACTCCTATTTATGATGGTTCTAGCTTCACGGGATATTGTGATCACCTTTCTGACAAGCAAAGTCAAGGGGGAAGACAATAAGTGTCTCACTTAGCAAAAGAAATTTTGGGCTCCATTGCGGTCGTAAGTCAAGGACTACCTGTACTTGCAAACAATGAAATCTGCTTAACCAATAACTTATCACCTCTAATTAATGCCTATGAGAATTATAAGAACACATTAGTAACAATTCCTCTTCTGTCTTGCAAACACAGGCAGAAGGGGAAAAGGGGGAGAGTCTTCCATTTAAATGGAGCAAGAAATAGAAAAAATGTATTTTGCAAGGATTGTGTTGATCCTTGCATGGGGGGGGGGGTGTTGGCTCAAAGTCACCCAGGTGGGTGACTAACAGGGAGAATCAGAACTCATGGTCTGTTTTAGTCAGGTGCCTTAACCATTATATCAAAGTATTTATTTATTTATGAGACTTATATACCGCTTTAAATGCGAGCACTCTCTAAGCGGTGTACAGCAGTAAACAATGTGTGTGTATATATATATATATATATATATATATATATATATATATATATATATATATATATATATATATATATATCTGAGGTTTTCGCGGGTATTTGTATATAGGTCTTTGGTTGTTCGGGTTTTCTCCCGCGTAAAATTGGAAGTGTCTTGGCGACGTTTCGACGAAGTCCCATTCGTCATCTTCAGGCTGGTGTTTTCAGCTTCGTGCTTTGAGCAGCAATGTGTGGTTTTAGCTGTTTCTTCCTTTTAACTGCCAGTGAGGGTATGAACTGATTGGATGGGAGCTTGGCTGTGTTCTGATTGGGTGGAGGTGTGTTCTGAATGGTTAGGGGCTTGGCTGTGCTCTGATTGGCTGGGGGAGTGTTCTGTTTGGTTGTGCTCAGGTTAGTCTGAGTTGCAGAGGGGTTTAAGATTTTGGGGTTAGGGAGTCGTTTGTCAATAAGGGCAGGTTTCCAAATGGCTGGTAGGCGGGAGGTATCATCTCGCTTGTTCATGCTGTGTGGGCGTTTTTCTATCTCGATGGCTTCTCTGATTATTCTGTTATTAAAATGTTCACTTTTGGCAATGGTTCTGGTATTTTTAAAGTCAATTTCATGTCCTGTGGCTTTAAGGTGTTGGACCAGGGAAGATGTTGGTTCCTCTTTTTTGACTGAGTTCTTATGTTCTTCAATGCGTGCACTTATTCTTCTGTTGGTTTGTCCGATGTATGTGGTGGGACAAGTGGTGCATGGGATTTCGTATACTCCTTGATTTTCTAATTCAATTTTATCTTTGGGGTTTCTAAGGATGGTGGATATTTTTCTGTTTGTGCAGAATGCTGTTTTGATGTTGTGTTTATGAAGGATCTTACTGATTCTGTCTGTGGTGCCTTTTATGTATGGGAGGAGGGCTTTGCCGTTTTCTTGTTCTTTGTCTTGGATTTTAGTGGGGGTTTCTTTTTGGATTAGGTTTGTAATCTTATTTCTATGGAATCCATTGGATGTTAGTACATTGGTGAGAGTGTGTAGTTCGGGTTTTAGGTGTTGTTCGTCAGCTAAGCGTTTTGTTCTGGAGATGAGTGTCTTGGCTACAGAGTTGATCTGTGCTGGGTGGTGGTGTGAGAGAGCGTGCAGATAGCGGTTTGTGTGTGTTTTCTTCTGGTAGATGGTGTGTCCTAGGGAGCCATTGGATTTCTTGTAGACTAAGACATCCAGGAAGGGAAGTTGGTTGTTAGCTTCTGTTTCCATGGTGAACTGTACAGTTCACCATGGAAACAGAAGCTAACAACCAACTTCCCTTCCTGGATGTCTTAGTCTACAAGAAATCCAATGGCTCCCTAGGACACACCATCTACCAGAAGAAAACACACACAAACCGCTATCTGCACGCTCTCTCACACCACCACCCAGCACAGATCAACTCTGTAGCCAAGACACTCATCTCCAGAACAAAACGCTTAGCTGACGAACAACACCTAAAACCCGAACTACACACTCTCACCAATGTACTAACATCCAATGGATTCCATAGAAATAAGATTACAAACCTAATCCAAAAAGAAACCCCCACCAAAATCCAAGACAAAGAACAAGAAAACGGCAAAGCCCTCCTCCCATACATAAAAGGCACCACAGACAGAATCAGTAAGATCCTCCATAAACACAACATCAAAACAGCATTCTGCACAAACAGAAAAATATCCACCATCCTTAGAAACCCCAAAGATAAAATTGAATTAGAAAATCAAGGAGTATACGAAATCCCATGCACCACTTGTCCCACCACATACATCGGACAAACCAACAGAAGAATAAGTGCACGCATTGAAGAACATAAGAACTCAGTCAAAAAAGAGGAACCAACATCTTCCCTGGTCCAACACCTTAAAGCCACAGGACATGAAATTGACTTTAAAAATACCAGAACCATTGCCAAAAGTGAACATTTTAATAACAGAATAATCAGAGAAGCCATCGAGATAGAAAAACGCCCACACAGCATGAACAAGCGAGATGATACCTCCCGCCTACCAGCCATTTGGAAACCTGCCCTTATTGACAAACGACTCCCTAACCCCAAAATCTTAAACCCCTCTGCAACTCAGACTAACCTGAGCACAACCAAACAGAACACTCCCCCAGCCAATCAGAGCACAGCCAAGCCCCTAACCATTCAGAACACACCTCCACCCAATCAGAACACAGCCAAGCTCCCATCCAATCAGTTCATACCCTCACTGGCAGTTAAAAGGAAGAAACAGCTAAAACCACACATTGCTGCTCAAAGCAAGAAGCTAAAAACACCAGCCTGAAGATGACGAATGTGACTTCGTCGAAACGTTGCCAAGACACTTCCAATTTTACGCGGGAGAAAACCCGAACAACCAAAGACCTATATATATATATATATATATATATTTTTTACATTGCCCCCAACAATCTGGGTCCTCATTTTACCTACCCCGGAAGGAAGGAAGGCTGAGTCAACCTTGAGCCGGTGAGATTTGAACCGCTGACCTGCTGAACACAGTCAGCTAAAGTGGCCTGCAGTGCTGCACTCTTAACTGCTGCGCCACCTCGGCTCATTTATATATACAAACTGTATCTGAATTTTTTAAAATGTTTTTTAAATATGGATTATTAATGCCCCTTTTGAAAAGTGACAACTGCAACGCGTCTGTGTCATTTAATATTTAATATCTTAAATCATTTCACTTTTTCCTGAAAACTACTCTTAGAAAGAAATTAAAAACAAATGCCAATTTCATGATGTTTCACTCAAATACGGGATATTTACGCATAAAATTGCCTTTGGGAGGGAGCACTAGAAAAAGTGATCCCAGATGACCTCCCTGATAGTTCCTTAGTAAGATGCAGGTAACATTTTCCACAAAGAATGATTAAGGCCCTCTGTTAAGAAATACCTTATAGGCAAAAGTCAGTTTTTGTAAGCTGTGTTTTCCATCTTCACTGTACATTACTTTGTCTGCAGGCATAATACAGCAAGCAAATGGTTTCTCCTTGAAATGAAGAAGGTGTTTGTTAGATCAAAGCAAGCAAGAAGCAAGACATGTTGTTCCTCTAATCTCAGATACTGTGTGGCTTGTAAGACAAAGTAGAATTGTGGATGCATTTTTTTGGAGATACTCCTAAACTAGTGGCAAGGCAAGGCAGAAAAGCAGGCAGAATACACAAAGGGCAAATAAATATGCACAGATCTGTGTTTACAAACAAGCAAATAGTAAATGCATAAGGAACCCTTCCATCTGCAAAAAAAGATAGCTGAACAATAGGCCTCTTACAATACACTCAGACGTTATTTGGACAAGCAAGTTACTCCTACCATTTCTATTGTACATGTTGAATTGTTAATTAATTGGAAAATATTATGCAATGGCAATGTCATTCCTAGATTTAAATAAGCTTATATACCCAAAGGGCTACATTATAAATGAATGTAGGACAACTACATATCAGAGCATGTAGCATCCAGCAGGGCTGCCAAGAACATTATCTTCTTTCTTATTATTCCTCACCTGAAGGTTTATTCCTTCTGTGATACTGCTTTAATCAATATAGTGGAATTTACAATTACAATTAATTAATATATTTCCGAATGAAAGGTTGTTTTTTTTTTAAATTCCACTATTGTACATATCCACTGCAGGGCTATGCAAAATGTTTGGTCACAGGACATCCCGACTCTAGAACAATACATTCCTAACAATGTTCCAGAAGAGGTCCAGAGAACTTCACAGAATATTCTGATCTTTTATAAATGGGCTGACTTCAGAAGACTTGGAAATTCTATACGGACTTCTTTTCAGTTGAAACATTTTATGACAGAACATTTTGCACCACCCTCAGCCCATTACTTTTCCTTCTCTGTGTGGTTATTTCTTCCAAGAAGAAATATTTATCCTAACAGCACTGATGTTTTGTTACAGAGATGATCAGTCATTCCTTTGCTTCCAGTTTCAGCAAGGGAAAATGGCCTTACATAGGGTGTCCTTCTGTTTCTCTGATCCTTCTTTACCATGCATTTTCTTTTATGGGTATTCACATCTTTCTGTATCAGGGGTCTTCAAACTTGGCCCTTTTATGACTTGTGGACTTCAACTCCCAGAATTCCTCAGCCAGCATGCCTGGCTGAGGAATTCTGGGAGTTGAAGTCCACAGGTCATAAAAGGGCCAAGTTTGAAGACCCCTGTTCTATATCATACACCAAGGTTTAAGGAAGTATATCTCACAGGAAAATACAATAGAGTCACTGAACTCCATACATACACACACACACACACAAATCTGTAGAAGGATGAGATTTGCCCTCTTCTACAAGCTACTTGGAAAGTAAAATGTTGTTATATTATGAATGCAGTTGCCAAAGTATCACAAAGTATTTGAACTTGCTCTCAGAATCAACATAAATGATTGCAATGTAACAATTTTTAAACACAAACATTTGACCCTAAGATTGCCATTGGAACCAGCAAAAACACTCATCTAAAGTTCATAACGGTTCAAATAACAAAAGCAATATAAACATTTAAATGTATTTGATCACTCGGCTGTAAATATTAATGGTTTTTAAAAGCTCATCACATTTTGAAAACCTAAAACTCATTTCACCTTAGGAACACCACCAAGGCTAATATATTCCACCCTTCGCTGTTTACCTTGCAAATTGTTTCTCAGTGACATATTTTCAAATGCTTGTAATCACAAGGAGCCCCTGAAATCATACTGAGCCTCACTGAAGAAAAACAATATCTGACTCTTTTCCTACAAAACTATCAAAGGGGACCAGTAAGTAAACTTAAAAGAGAACATTTAATTTCATAGACTTGAATGTGGAAATTTTAAACATACAGTATGTATCTCAGCTTAGTAAGCAAAGAGTCTACGTGCTATATTCTGATGACATTCTTCCTTTAAGACACTATGTTTATCACGGAAAATGTTCAATAAAAGATCTCTAAGTTGCATGTGATACGGTTACTTTGGTCAACTTTAGGATCCTAGAAAGCATAACATCTGTTTAATCTGCAATAGAAAACAATTGAACACTTTCTGGGTCAACTATGAACAGGGAAAGAGAAGTAAAAGACTGAGTGAATGGTATAAATCTTGTGTGTTTCTTAGTTTATTAATCCAAAACATGTATACCCAAACTGGGCCAGTGTATCTAATTCAAAGGAATTGATTCTCAAAAAAGGGCAAACGAATTAGAAATCAGACTGCTACAATGTGCTACACACACACACATAATCAAACTAAAACAGTTGCCTTCGCTAAGCAGATATTACAGTTTGTCAAAGTAACTAAGCTACGTTGACAATCCAGTGTACAGAGTGTCTTCTATGCTTCCCAATACATAAATGACACATCTTGTTTGTAACTTCTAACAGAACAGAAGTCATACAAAACATCAACCATTATCAGTAATAATCTTACCAACGAATGTTTTAAAAAGTAGATCAGTTACCTGGATACTTGGTTCTTCTATTACATTTTTGCTTCTTGATTTTTATTTTGCATTCAAAGTTTCCTAATTTCTTATATAGCAGCATGAGCCTGGAAAAACAAGCAGAACAGATTCATAATAAATACAGGAGTGCTTCCTTATGCCTTCCAACTTTATTACATTTTCCCTTATCATCCAAAAAGGAGTGCAGAGCAGATTACACTATCAGCCCCAGATCCCCAGCATTACTCTAGTCAAACACCGACCCTATGATATAATTTATGGTGAAAGATGATGGGTTGACCAAAAACTTCAGAAACTGTAGGGAATGAATGGGAATTTGAATCTAGTCTTCTCCCAATAGTTCAGTATTATGACTGGTTATACACCACAGTTCTTAATAATTTGTAGAATTTTCTCGCTTTACACATTATTCCAACCTATAAGCTATGATTTACAAATAGCAAAGGCTGGATTCACAGGCTATGCTAAGTTAAACCAAACCACATTAGGGCTCAGAGTCATACAGAAAGTTAAATATACTATATAATTGTATTAAAGTCTAAAAATGGGATCCTTTATCACACATTTTAAAGATGGTCCTCCCTCTGCTTTAGATGATCAGCAACCTTCATCTTCCAATTCTCTGCACTATGGTGAATAAAGCATTCTCCTTACATAAATCATGGAAGTTTTTTTTTAAAAAAAAATCTACGGTAGCTTAGATTTGGTAATAATTAGCTTCATCTTCTATTGCCTCTCCAATGCCATCTTTAGAGAAGACACAATACAAGTTTTCCTGTCCTTCTCCATCTTATAAGGACAGTATTTCTTCCTTAACCATTCCAACTATTTGTTTTGTCACCAATGTTGTTACCCTTTCAGAATAAGAAGATACCCCTTTCCCCCCTCTAAGGAGCTTAATAACAAAATCCTTCCAACTTGCAACTCAAGCCCTGGGGATACCAACATAAGCTGCACTCTCCCTTTTTCATATAATCTTTCCGTCTCCCAGATCAAGCCATTCTGATCTTTATAGACATGAGGAAGAGGTGAACTTTGAAAAACTCACCATGGGTTTAACTTTGCTTTTCAACAATTTCTCAACTTTGGGGTCACTAGCTCTCAACTCCCATCGTTAATCTCTTAATATTAAACCTGAAGTTATCTGATGAAACTGAACAGTGAAAGTTTCATACCAGATAAAAGGAGATGTCCCACACAGCATGTTATTAACTGATGAAATTTGCTATCACAAGATAAAGTGAGTCCTGCCAACCTAGACGGCTACAAAAATAGACAAGTACGTGGAGAATAAAGATATCCATGAATTGTTCTATATTACCTTCAGCATCACAGCTAGGGTGTTTTTGAATCACTGTTGCAGGGAACACAAGTACTGTAGGAGAAAGCAACTTACTCATATTCTGATAGAGGTTTGACAAAGGATCTGACTGGCCACTGTGCTGATCAAATGGATCTTTGATTTGATCCAGCATGGTTCTTTTTTTATCTATTCTGTTATGTTCCCAACCTTCCAAGATGAGTTTTCATTAATTGTTTCCCATCTAACCCTCATGATTCTGTCTTCTGTATTTTCTAAAGAATAAGTTCTACCTATTACATTCCTCTCAGCAATAGAAATTAAGTTGACTTGCTTCATACATTCTCTCTCCACACATTATCAGAAGAAACAGAAATCGGCCACTGCCATTTTAAATTTGCTAACCAGTGAATATATCCTGTTGAACAGAATGGAATGTACTTTTGAGTAAAAGAAACATGTACAGAATGAGAAGTAATTTTTTTTTCTTTTTGAGGTAAAAAGAAAAGAAAGTGTTTGTTTTCATAATTGTTGAGAAAATATATTAATCGTCCTGAGGTATAACTTAGAAAATGTACTTCAAAGAATGCTGCAGCATTGTAATGGCTACATTTCATCAGAATAGTTGTACAATATTATTTTTTAATGGGCTGCAAAGCCTTAATGAATGCTACAGTTCATACAGGAGACATAACAGTCAATTCCAAACCGAGCAGTTGCATTTACATAAGATGTTAAGTATGGTTAATTTAACCCTAAATGGGTTTTGAATATGTATGTATTTACCATGTTATATAGACAACTTGATTGATTTATTAATTTATTTGCATGGGTTTCTGATTTAAAGTATTATGCAAACCCATGCAAATAAATTAATAAATCAATCCAGTAAACACACACTCCTGTCACATAATCAGGAAAAAGGTGCTAAACAAAGAAAGGTTGGTCAAACCATACCTAAAATATTGCATCCAGTTCTGGATGTAGCATTTTAGGAACGACATTGACAAATCGAGAATCTTAAGAGTGGAGCAACTGAAATGAGGATTGAATGATTGGAGTCATTGACTATGTGTAACACGGAGACCTGATACAAGATAGTGGTCTTCAAATATATGAAGGATTATGTAGAAAACAGGGCAGGATGGTTGCAGTTGTTCCTGATGAAGAAGCACAATGGACTTAAATTAAAAACACTCCAGTTGGGCATTTTGATTAATTTCTAATAAGAGTTCTTCAACAATAGAACATACTGTCATGGGAAGTATTTGAACAGAAACTGGATGGTTGATAGGGATGTTAGAGCAGGGTTTTGACTAAACGATATCCAAAATATTTCTACTCTTTGTATTCTATTATTTTACAGACCTATGATGGAAAAATAAGTTTAATTTTTTTTCTTCCGTTCAGTTGGCTGGCTGAGGAATTCTGGAAGTTGAAATCCACAAGTCATAAAAGGGCCAAGTTTGAAGACCCCTGTTTTAGGGGGTTAATACTGTATAAGGTAAAGAAAGTCCTCTGTGATCTATGCAATTGCAACATGTGAGGGATTCTGGGAGCTGAAGTCCACAAGTCATCAAAGGGCCAAGCTTGAAGGCCCCTGATGTATACATTAAACCTAGTCTAATGGTTACATTTGCAAAGTCACCCCAAAAAGTGACTTACGACCGTTTTTCACAAGACCAGGGGTCTTCAAGCTTGGCCCTTTGATGACTTGTGGACTTAACTCCCAGAATTCCTTGCTGGCTGAGGAATTCTGGGAGCTGAAGTCCACAAGTCATCAAAGGGCCAAGCTTGAAGACCCCTGGGGTAGACTCTCCCTTGCTGCTTCCACAGGAGAGGCCACCACGCATCCCAATCAAAGCTGCAACATAAACCCAAGTCCTCCCCAGCCTCAACCGCCGCATCCTGGCTAGTTTACCCCAGCTCAGCCCAGATTCTCCAGCTCGGGCGGGCCCGGGGATTGCCAGTTTCTGGAGGTCGGCGGGCCCGGGGAAAACGGGGTGCACCGGGCAGACCCCAACCCAGGGTCGTGGGAGTTTCAGAGACCCCCAGCCACGGCAGCGTCGGGGGTGGGTGGGTGGGGGGCGCCCCGGAGGGGGGGCTGCCCAGGCAGGCGCCCCTTCCCCCAATTGTCGTGGCTCCCCCCAGCGCCCCCCGTTGCTCTGGGGGCGGAGCCCCACTAAGCCCCGCCCTCCCCGCCGGCCGTTACCTGTCTGTCTTTCCGCCTCCCTCGCGCTCTCTCTGTCTCTGTCTCTCTTCGCTTCAGGGCCCGGCCCGGCCCAGCCGCGGCCCTACCCCCGGGCTCGTTCCCTTCCGGCTGCCGGGGAAGCCAGGGGAAGGGGGGAAAGGGGTGCCCGGTGCGGCGGGCAGAGCAAAGCGGGGCGAGCGCCGAAGGAAGGCAGCAGGAAGGGAGCCACTTTGCACTGACTGACTGACTGATGGAGTAGGAGCCACCTCCGCTCCTTCCTCCGGGGTCACCGGGCCTGGGCTGACCCCGGCGCGCGGCCAATCAGCGGGCGCGCTGGCCGCGCGCCGCCGCCCACCGCCTCTCCGGATTGGGCGTCGCGAGAGGGAGGGGGGGTCGAAAGGCCACGCCTCTCCCCGCCTCCCTCCTGGCGCTTCCTCCTCCTCTTCTTCTTTTTTCTTGGCGTCTCTCCTCCTTCTCGGCTCGAGGCCCCCGCCGCCCTTACAGACACTTCCGGCATTGTCTGGACAACTTTTGGTTCTCGAAGGCTCTCCGGGGGAAAGAGAAAGGAGCCCTGACCATAGAGGTGCGGGTGGGCAGATCGGCGCTTACCCGCTTTCTCTCCTCCTCCTTCTCCTCCCTCCTCCCCCCTCCCCCACGCACACAGGCCTCCGACGCTGGATCGGCTTTCCTGCCTTGTGCCGGAAGTCGTTTGTAAAACTTTTATTTCTACCGGAAGTCTCGGTAGCCGGACTGGGACAGCCCGTCTGGGCCGCGCGGAGGTCCGCAGCTGCGCTGGAGGCGCCGAGGAGGGCTTGAGGCTTGCCGGGGAACGTCTGGTCGGCTGGCCGAGAAGACTGAAGGGATGGTTGATGGAAGATAGATAGATAGATAGATAGATAGATAGATAGATAGATAGATAGATAGATAGATAGATAGATAGATAGATAGATAGATAGATAGATAGATAGATAGATAGATAGATAGATAGATAGAGGCAACAGATCTATAAAAAGCCCTTCTCCAGGGAACCCTACCTTTCCATTCTTCTCTGCATACATTCCAAGATATTGTGTGGGATTGTGTGTGTGTGGGGGGGGAAACGGTCCTATTTCCAGGAGGGACGATTTGCGAAGAAATGTCACACACACACACACACACACACACACACACAACCCGATTTGACTATATAAAGAATCCCTGGATATATAAAAATTGCTCATAATGGGGACTTACTTTCACGTTCTTCAAAAGATGTATAATGATATAATTGCTGGTGCTTTGTTAGCCCAAGATAGTGACAGTTGTGCAGCTCTTCTAAATCCTTCGGTTTTTTCATCAGCCAAAAATCATGAATTATGTGCCTGTCGTTTTTTTTCTAAGTTGCATGCTAAGATCTCTTCTGGTCTAGACTCAATAAACCACGAACATGATATTTCTAAAAACTGTTGCCATCTGAATACACGGGAAATTATTCTGCTTCAGTTAACTTTGATCAAGATGATGCATGCCAAACTGCAACTGCAAGAGGTGGCTGCTGAAATAAAGCAGAAATACATTGAGATCCTGAGAATTCTGGAAGAATCGAACATTGTCTCTGAATTAGTAAGTTTCCCAAAGGTTACGTTTTTCTTCATTAAGGTATCTCGTAGCTACAACTTCTTTCTGTTTCCATTTCTTCTAGATTCCTCTGTTAGGTAGTTCAGATCAACAGCTCTCTCACATGGCTTCCAAAACTTTGGCCTCCCTTGTGCACTTTCAGCTAACAGAAGATGTAAGTCAGAAACTGAGCTTTGGAGTTGTTACTATTTAAGCGAATGTATCCTTTTGTGGTTTGTTTTGTTTGGTCTGTTTTCTTTCAAGAAAGCTACAAATGCAATGTAGCTTTCAACTTTTAACAATTCAGGATTTTGTACAACGGGCACGCAGCACAGAATGTAACTTAATCTTTAATGTTATAAGTCTCCACCCAGCAAAAAATACTAATTACTTCTCATGCACTCTCAATTCAGCCTGTTTTGTTCTCCTAGTAAAAAAAGAGGTAAGTTTATACCTGGTGGTACCATCTGCTACCCCCTTCTAATTAGATTGCTTTTACTCACTTGGCTGGCTGGACAGATGTCTCTGCCTTTCTCATTGGGCCTTGTACTTTTCTCCCAAAGATGGCCAGATTTTTTTAAAATGTAAATACTATAAATTCATACATGACAAAGCATATTCTTTAAAGAGACATTCTTCATATTTTATACTGAAGGAAATATCTCTTCCGCTGAATTATACTTTTTGTGGATATGTATAGCTACCGGTAAATGTTTGTAATGGTGTATCTATTTCTACCACCATTTTTTTTAAATGGGGTAACAAGCCAGGGTTTTTTTTAGCTAGTTTATCTTAAAAATGAATGAATTATCTCTCAGTCTTTCCCTACCCAATAACAGTCTTTCAAGATGAATTTTATCATGTTTTCTTGTTTTCGTAGGAGAATATTTTTTCCCAAAAGCAGCCAGGAAAACCTCTTTTGAGTTTTCAAACTGAGGGGGGGGGAGCTTTTCCAGTGTACTTAGATTAGATGTACTTAGTTATTTGGTTATCATTCTGTTCATTTTTAATTCCTTATTGCTTTTTTCTCCTTATGCAGCTTTTGCACTGCGAGCTTTTAATGCCATGTTTGCGTTTGATTGTTTACAACCAATACTTATATAGAACTAGAACCCCTGGAATGAGACAGTTAAAACACATCTCAAAATTCTGTAGCCCACCCTCATAAGTGGCTTCGTTTTTTTCACTGTCTCACAGTGCATTAATGTTTATTAGTCTATGCATATAATTTTTAGTTATTTGTGGCGTATGGTTGGTTTAAAAGATGGGGAGTGGAGATAATGATTGAATGTTCTTTACATATATCATTAAAATATGAGGGAAAAAAAATAGGAAGATGGTTGTTAGGTTGGACATTTTGTTTTAGACTTGCTGCTTTTCATACCAAATAAATCGTTGGCGTCGACAATATTGTTAAGTATAGACACTCTGTATACCTGTGCAACTGTACCTCATTGGTTTCCTCCTGCTACTCAGTGTCATAGTGCAGTACTAAAATAATCAGATAGAGGGCTTCATAGGATAGGACAAGAGAAATTGCATTTTGGATGTCCCCGTTTAAATTGCATGCAGATTTTCCTGCAGATCTAGCGTATGTATGGGAACTACTGTTTACAATAACCTACAATCAGAGCTGAATTTTTTAGCCTGAATTTGACTGAATGGAAGCAATGGTAGTGTCCCACCCAAATCCATGTCCTTTTCCACCCAGTGTACTTTCCCTTAGGATGGAACCATTCCTCTTTCTTTCAGTCCTCAAAAATTGCCAAGAAGGTATTTACACCTCATTTAGCATACCATTTAGAGAGACTTTGCTGCTTTATGAGTTCTCATTTTCAATCTGAATTAGTTCAGCATACAACTGATTTTATCCTGATTAAATAAGGAGGCCTATATGTGGATTAATTAAGTAAGGGGGCCTATAGACCTAATCCTCACAGTATTGTTTTATGTCTAAATATATTTGCCAATGTTGTATGGCTGTAGTATTAGTATTATCATCCTTCTGATCTTCTCTACTACCTCCTCTTATTAGTGTCATATTAAGCCGAGGTGGCGCAGCAGTTAGAGTGTAGTACTGCAGGCCACTTTAGCTGACTGTGTTCAGCAGGTCAGCGGTTCAAATCTCACCGGCTCAAGGTTGACTTAGCCTTCCATCCTTCCGGGGTAGGTAAAATGAAGACCCAGATTGTTGGGGGCAATGTAAATATATATATACATTGCTTACTGGTGTATATCGCTTAGAGAGTGCTTGCACTTAAAGGGGTATATAAGTCTCATAAATAAATAAATAAATAATATGATGATTATTATTATTCTGTCGCTTTCCATATACCTTGAGAACTTCTGCACCATAGACAAATTCCTTGTGTGTCTAATTGGTCAAATAAAGTAGTCTGTCTATTCTATCTACTCTTCTGTTTTTATGACTGGTAAAGCAAAGCGTTGAGCAATAAAGCTCTAAGGATTGGGTAATAAAATATACAGTCCTTACTTTGTAATACTGGTTTGGCTGGCTAGTCACTTGCTAAGGGAGCAAAACGATGAGGAAAGCCATCATTGCCAATGCCAAAAACCTTTGGAATAGTTGCCTTTTTCGTGCTTCTCCTTTGTCTCAATTTTTTTGTGTGACATTTGTTCGGTATAACCCAGAATAATATGCATCCTCTCTCTTTTCCCAGAATTCATTAAACAGTGCCTGGATTGCTTTTTGTGTAGAGACTTTATCAGGATTTCCCAGTAATAGTTCAATAGCAGGATGCCTCTGGACTTTGACTAGTCTAATAAAAGAAATGTTGAATGATGACAACACTCACAAAAGAGGTACTGTTTCAATTGGCATTGCATTGCAAGCAGCTAATAGAAGATCAGTGTATAGTTAACTCTTCGGGAAACTACTGATATGTTCATATTATTATGGATATATTGCTTGTCTTGTAAATTTTCATGGAAGAAACGAAAAAGTTTTTTAATGAGAAAAAGTTCTAATTTTGATGGATAATTTAGTTAAGGCCTCCCTGTCATATTTAAGCCCTGCTTGACACTGGTGTTGTTGTTATTATAGGTGACCTGAAGAAACTTCTAACTCCACTTGACAATGTACTGGAGAATTTTTACAGCTCCATCCTTTCTTATCATTTAACTATTCACCATGTTCCACTATCTACAAAATCAACAAACAATTTGAATAGCTTTCTAGATCTCTTTGAGCTGCTGGCAGCTGCCAGGATTCAAATACCACTCAACCTGGGATGCCAGAGGATATTGTTTTTGAGCTCTTACGATATCTGCTGCCTTGCCGCATCACCCGTTCACGGTTTCATCAGAAAGAAATCAATCATGTTGCTTAAAAACTGCATCTTTCGCAAAGCTGGTGAAGACCTAATCAAGACAAAAGTGCTCCCTTCCTCTGACTTGGACCCTCATTTTGACAATGATCAATTAGCATTGGCCAATACTGTACTGCTGCACTTTGTGAATTCTGATGGGCTGGGGGGGTTGTGTGTTAGTGGAAATCTCAGCCATTTTGATGGCAGCACAGTTGAACCTCAAGTACATGTGAATAGTAACTTTGACGTCGTGGTCTTCCGATCCTTAAGCTTGCTTCTGCTTAAAGCGTTAGAGACGAAGATCCCGGATTTTGCCTACAGAACTGAATCGCAAGGTAATTTTTCTTTCTAAAGTGCCTTAAAAGTGCTTCACGTTGTTTTGTGAGTAGACTACAAACATGGTGAAAACGAATGGGGTTGCCACTGTAGTTTTGAATAGATCTTTTTCCTTTCTGAAGTGACAGCTGTTTAGGGGAATGGAAATTAAGACTTTATTGGGTGGAAGGGAAAAATGAGTTAAGTCTGCATATCCACCAGTTTTTCTCTCCTTCGTTTGTTGAAGTGCTCCTCCTTCCAGTATCCTGAAGAGGATTTACTACCTACTTATAAGTTACACCTGCTTTGAGAAATAATTTTTCCAGACAGACCTGTGGGTTTATCATAGTTATCCAAAAGCTATCTAGGAACTTTTGTTCCATAATTTAAACCACCAGCCTTAGCTATTAGATTATGGAGTAACTAAAATTTTAAAGTTGGTTGCCTTGCATTGCCTAGAGAATCTAAGCAACCTCAGAAAAGAGTAATAATAATAAGAAAATATTAAAAGATGGGTGTTTTCTTATAACAGCACATAATAGATCTTAAGGATCAAACCATAATGATGTACTGAAAGAACTGCAACTGCAGAATGGGTGTGCAAATTTTGGTTTCGCAGACACTGGAGAAATAAATTACTTTTAAAAGAAGATGTCATTTATTCATCTGTCTGCTATTTCAGTAAAACATTACTTCAGAATATTCCCATCATAGCACTGAGGTGTATATAGCAAAGCAGCTACATTGTACAAGATGTGGGAGGATTGTGTTTAACCTGAGCAGATATGGTAATCCAGAGGTTCTCTAGAGAATTTAGATGTTCAGTGTAGTGTGTAATTTGAAATTCAGTTTGATTGTGTCTCCAACTTAATTAAGAAGTTGCACTCCCAGAAGTCTCGATATACAGTCAATAAAAGATTGGGCTCAGCTAAAGTGGAGAGCTTTTAGTGGAGTGGATAATTATATGTATACATGATCAATTTTCTGGATTATGGAAGCTGTAGGCATGAATACTTTTAATCTTTGCAGGAGCAGAAAGTTTGTGCCACATGGAATTTGAAAGTGGATCCTTTCTTCCCTCTCATTTCAGAAATGATTTCCTTACAAAATGGAATTTTTAAACTACTGTTTTTCATTCCCTTTGAAATGTTTTATTAGTACGGGTAATGCTAAAACAATCATTGTTCCTCAGATATTGTAAATTTTTATCAAAAGCATATATATTTATGTAGTTTTGATTTCCCCCCCTTCATTTTAGTTCATTTGGAGAATCTTATGGGTCTACTCTTGACAGTCTTAAAAAGCCACCTGAAGACTTCTGCCAGTATCTGCTTATTTGAACACCCTTGTACGTGGATTTCTCTGTTTGTAGAACAAGATGATGAGATAGTAGAAGCTGCAAAGTCATTATTGGCAATTTATTTAAACTTTGAAAGGTTAGTGCCCGTTTCCCCATAAGCCATCAACTTCTATTTGCTAAAAATTATGGATTGTCATAAATATCAGGAAAGTGAATGCACAGTTCAGCCAACAGTGTTCAAACTGAAACTCCCATTCGTTCTGTTTCATTTTGCTTCCAGCATATTACACTCCTTCTAAGACAAAATTATTCCCAATTCCTTCAGTCCCTGAGGTAAGTCTAGCAAGCTTACTTGCTCCTCCCAAATACTGAAGCATGTAAATAATGTTTGCATTTAGAATAAGGTATTATCTAGAGTTTCTTTTCTTCCATATACAAGGAATTTGACAAGCAGTACAAAGGTGATGTGCAGGATTCTTCCATATCATAAACGAGATAAGCAAATATGCACCTCTTCTTTAAATAGACTGTAGAAGCATTGACAGAGAGATCAGTAAAATAAACTCCTGGTCCATAATTGCTCTCAATGAAACAGAATTGTATTCTGAAATTTCGACATAGTTCTTCAGCTTTGTTGTAAATTCAATTCATTTCCCATTCAGTAGGGAAGAGAGAAAAAATGTTTAAGAGGTAGGTCCGAAACATGTTTTGAACTGAATACCAGGGTGTGGGGTTTTTTTGCAGATTTTACTGCAAAATATGTGATCTTTTCAGGTTTTTTCCAACCCAGTGAGAACAGTTAATCAAAAGTTGTGGATGCTCCATCACTGGAGGTTTCCAAAAAGAGACTGGATAGCCATTTGTCCAGGATAGTATAGAGTAGTAGTAGTAGTAGTAGTAGTAGTAGTAGTAGTAGTAGTAATGTTGGAAGGGACCTTGGAGGTCATCTAGTCCAACCCCCTGCTCAGGCAGGAAATCCTATATACCATTTCGGACAAATGGCTGTCCAGTCTCTTCTTAAAAACTTCCAGTGTTGGAGCATTCACTGCTTTTGGAGGCAGGTTGTTCCACTGGTTAATTGTTCTAACTGTCAGGAAATTTCTCCTTAGTTCTAGGTTGCTTCTCTCCTTGATGAGTTTCCACCCATTGCTTCTTGTCCTGCCTTCAGGTGCTTTGGAGAATAGCTTGACTGTCTCTTCTTTGGAGCAGCCGCTGAGATATTGGAAGACTGCTATCCTGTCCCCCCTCATCCTTCTCTTCGTTAAACTAGACATACCCAATTCCAGCAACCGTTCCTTATATGTTTTAGCCTCCAGTCCCCTGATCGTCCTTGTTGCTGTTCTCTGCACTCTTTCTAGAGTCTCAACATCTTTTTTACATCGTGGTGACCAAAACTGGATGCAGTATTCCAAGTGTGGCCTTACCAAGGCCTTGTAAAGGGGTATTAATACTTCACGTGATCTTGATTCTCCTGCTTGAGTACGGAGTTGGACTAGACGATCTCGACGGTCTCTTCCAACCCTATTATTCTATGTTCTTAGTATCTTGGAAGTCCTGCAATCCATCCGTTTATGCCAGTTGCCGGAAACCTCCTACTTGGCCCTAGTTACTTCATGCTGCCTTATTTTTGGATTTCCTTAATGCAGGGTATGGAAGACCATTGCATACTGAGTCCTGCTCAAAATTTTTACCTGAAGGCAACCTGGATTTGCATTCATATACAGCAATGGGTTATCCCCCTAAACTAAGCCTTTCCTCCCTTTATTTCAGTGGCACACTACAAAATATTATTCTCCAATGGTTTGGAGGCAAATATTTGTTATTTGTTATATATCTAAACCATACTTTGTGTCCACATGAAGACCACAGAGTGATCAAGTCCTCCTAATTAGTAATTACGAATTGCTGATGCCTTTCTTTTCCATCTCATGTAAATGTCAAATTACAGTTGATGAAAGTGAAAACAAGGGTATTCTCTTTTTTCCCTTGTCCAACATCCCCCCCCCCACTTTATTCTTTTAATGTGCATTGAATTAGAGCACACAGTGGGAGAGAATGCTGGAGTGCCGTCATGATTCTAATCGTCTTGATTTATTTGGCCAAAAATAATAAATGGAAACTCAGCTCTACAGTTAGAGTTCTTAATAAAACGATTGCTGGCTTAGAGGTCACAATTTAATTTTCTATGTTCTTGGTTATTTTTATAGGTTCCGCCACGATGTTAATTTTGCCCCGTGCCATTTAGATGACGGGAGCCAGGACAACTGGACACACCAAAACGGCTACAATGCCCACTGTATCTTCTTATGTCTGTTAAGAAGCATTGCATTTGACGCCACGGTTCTTCTGGACTTCTTGATTTCATCTGAAACCTGTTTCTTGGAATACTTTGTACAATATTTAAAACTTCTTGTGGAAGACTGGCACCAATTTGTACAAGTTTCCAGGTGCTTTACGTTCACCGTTGGCAAAGATCTCAGAATTTGGGACGAGAATTTGCCTTGCCAGCAAAAATATGTCCGCAAGTCAGATCTCACCATGCAGACCACTTCATATGATACACAGACTTCTACAGAGGCCTTTTCATCTTCCTCATTCAATTTGTCTACACTCCCTCAGAGAGGCGATCAAACTGTGCAACCCAACAAGTCTGATTTAGTAACAGCATCGAGTCACCAACCTTTATTGGGGGCTTTTCAGAAGCTGGTTGATTATGACAGCTCAGAAGATTCTGATGTAGAATGTGTAAGAGAAGAATCTTGGACAGACACAGGACAAGAAACTTTAAATTATCAATCCTGTACAAATAAAGCAACTCTTGATGATAGTGCAAAATCCTCCAAGCAAGATGTGCTATCTTTAACTGAGCAGGAACTGAATATTTCAACATCCTGTTGCAGCAAACTGTCCCCCCAAAAATGTAAATTAGCAGGTGAAACTTTCCAGAAAGCGACTACATGCTTCCAACAATTGCAAAAGTCAGTTGCTAGGCTACATGCAAAAAGTCTCTTTCCATACAATCCAAATGCTCTCTTGAAGCTCTTAAATCAAGTTAATATAATTAGTAAAGATCATCGAGCTGTTTCACACTAGTCAGAATCTACAGAAATAAAGTGTTTCAGGTTAAACCCATATATTTGTTAGCATTTGAAAGGATGTTCCAGAAAATTAATATGCATTGAAATATGTGGGCCAAATGCATTCTTTGGGATTGAAGTATATGTTGTTTATGAATTGTCTGCTTGGTTAAAAACACTGTAGTTTCTAATCCCTTAATACGTTTAATTCCAAAAGGGAGTTGCAATTTTGTCTGTGCTGTGTTTGAATTTTCCCTCAGAGTTTTTTTTTTTTAAGGCAGTAAATTCTGAATTTTATTTTTGGCACCTTGCTCTGTCTGAGGTAATTTTGATATGAAGGATGTATGTCCTTAGAGATAATTAATTCCTGCTTTTAAAAAGAGGATAGAATAGGTCTGTGTTTCCAATTGTATCATAATTAAATAACTTAAAGCTTTATGAATTGGGAAAAAGGGGGCTAAAGGGCAAAAGATTTGACTTTGCAGCTAGAACAATTAACCAGTGGAACTACTTGCCTCCAGAAGTTGTGAATGCTCCAACACTGGAAGCTTTTGAGAAGAGATTGGACAACCAGTTGTCTGAAATGGCATAGGGCTTCCTGCCTGAGCAGGGGGTTGGACTAGAAGATCTCCAAGCTCCCTTCCAATTCTGTTATTCTGTCTTTACATTGTATGTTTTGTTATAACCTTCCACGTTGCAAATTAATTTAATTTCTTAAGAAAAATCCATCTTGAAGGCCATTGTGAGACATCTTGCTCATTTCTTTGAATAAAGTATCCAGTTGATTTTAATAAAGCTGAAAATACTTTCTAGGGCTATTGCTTTAATTCTAGCCTCTAAGCCAGAATGGGCATGAGTGGTAGGACTGAAAAGTCAGAGGTTGGAGTAGAAGATCCCTTTTTCAATCCCTTATAATTCTATGATTTTATGATTCGTTCATTCCTTATAAGAATCTGGTCTTTCTAACACTATAAATAAAGACCGAAAGCCTTATTGGTTTAAGACTAGATGATATTAGAATGATTTGAGCATGGTATTGCAAAATTGACTACATGTTTTCAATGTATTTGTGAAATCAGTCTGTCTTTTCAATTCAATGTTCACGTGTTAAAATATAAAGTATTTCTGGCATCAAATCTGTTTCTGGTAGACATCACTTCCCCCCCCCCCAAAAAAAACTAGAGCTATTCATTTTGGACCTGCTTGTTGATGCACTTGCTGCCCAGTTACTTATTTTTATCCCTGTGAATTAGGCTTTATTTTTTCCTGTAAAAAGGGACCTTTGAAATCAATTAACATTGGTCAAAAGCAGGGTTTGATACACTGTTCCATCTAGGTTAATGACTGCAATATTTAAAATTCCTCCCGCAGTCTCTAAAACACCGTAACCCCATGATAGCTATTACAATGATACTACGATGGATATTACATCTGGTTTATTTATTTTTTTCAGTTTCAAGTTTTTTATTGATTTTACAATATTACATTTACATATTTGAAAAATAGCGTGGCAGCTGAGCACAGTAATTCCATTACATTTGAATGATATTACATCTGGTTTACTTTGGCCATGTCATGCATGCTCCACATTCATTGGAGAAGGCAGTGATGTTAGGAATGATGAGTGGAACAAGAAGAAGAGAAGAGGCAAACCACACAATGGCTTGATAACATTGAACTCATACAAAGATGAACATCCAACAGTTGAAAGGACCTGTGCTGGACAAGGTAGGATAGAGAGCATTTGCCTATAAAGTCGCCAAGAGTTGGACACGACTAAATGGTTAAAAACAACCATGGTAGATGAGAACTAGTGATAAAGAGAGCATCACGGAGGAGACTTAAGGCTGTCGATCTAGTTATACAGAAAAAGTACCTTCTCACTCAAAACATGAATTGACTTGTTGCAAGCCTTTTAAATCAATTAGGAAATCATACTAACAAACCTCGTAATAGGCCTGTGGGAAAGACATAAAGATAATTCTTTCTACAAAGTGGTGGATGTCAACTCACTGTCATCTCTTTTCAGTTTTGTTACCCGCCTCCTCAGAAAAAAATCCACCCTTATTGCATGATATCCAATCACTCAATCTCTCCACCTACATTTGGTTAGCAACGGCTGTTCCAAATTGTAGGAAATGGATGAATTACTTTTTCTGCTCCTTTCTCTGTTTTCTGCCTCTGATTTTACTCCCCACCTGGTCCGATGAAGGGTTCTACAGAATTTTAAAATGTATTGTTTTGTGGTATTTTAATTGATTCTGATTTTTTCACTCCAAATGGATTTAATAATAATAATAATAATAATAATAATAATAATAATAATAATAATAATAATAATATGGATCATCGCACAGTCAGCCAGATGTTCAGACTGGATTTGGCATTTTGTCTACCTATCGAGTCCTTGCCAAGGACCTGGGATAGGCAGATACGGATGTTTGATGGTATTACAGATATCGTTGCACGATGGAAGCAGTTCCTAGTAAGGCCTCCTTTTGCAATTGACTAATGGCAAATTTGTCAATGCCAGTGGTGTTCAAGTGGTGCTCCAGTTGTTTTGGGATTGCATCCAAGGTGCCTATTACTATTGGTACTACCTTTGCTTGCTTTTGCCACAGTCTTTCTAGGTTTTGTAGGTTTTTGTATTTTGTTATCTTCTCCAGTTCTTTCTCATCTATTCTGCTGTCTCCAGGCACTGCCACATCCACTATCCAGACTTTTTTGTCTTTCTTATCGACAATTGTTAAGTCTGGGGTGTTATGTTGCAGGTGCTTGTCTGTTGAATTCTGAAGTCCCAGAGCAGTTTAATTTTATCATTTTCTATGACTTTCTCTATTTTATGATCCCACCAGTTTTTGCTTACAGGCAAATGATATTTCTTGCAGATCTTCCAATGCACCATTGTTGCTACTTTGTCATGCTGCTGCTTGTAGTCAGTCTGTGCGATCTTCTTGCAGCAGCTTAACTTTAGATTACTGCTGTTTCTTCTTCCAGTGTTAAAACCACGCACATCATTTTCCAATTCAACCTACCAGAAGCTAGCCCATTTTGCCATGTGTCATTCACGCTATGGTTTTCTATTCCTCATGAGGGCAGTGATATGTTCTGGGATTGGAAACATGCGGAAGAGGCCTTCATTCTGCAGTGGACAGACAATGGTGATGGTGGTGGTGGTGATGGTGGTGATTGCAAAAGGGGGAGAAGGTTCAGCACAACTAACTTGCAAAATCCTGTTATTAAAGCCACTAATCATAAAAGTTTCAGCCTACTTGTGGAGTTGATTCCTTGCTCAATACCTCTGGCTAATTAGTCTAACTCCTGCAGTCTTCCAACTTGGTAATAATTGGCGTGCTGACCTAACTTCATTTTCTAGTACTAGACATTCTTATAAGTAGGGAATATCTTCCACATACTCTTTCTTTGATCTTTTTTGAATAATTTATTAGGTGCTCATTGGCATTCTTTAACATACCAGATTGATGTTCAAAGATCTTTATTAAGACTCTTGGCCTGTTTCTATCTTCAGGGTCGTTAAAGATGCCATTGTTACTACTACTCCTTGCCTCTTCTAATGGCTTTCTGGAATTCTTTGTTAAATTCCTGAGTTCTTTGCCCTACTGGATCTTACTTTTACTTCTTTCCTTGTAGTTACCATTGGTTCTGACATCCTGTTTGCTTTCTTCGGTTTCCTAGTCTTCAGTACTCTCTATTCATATTTATCCTTCACAATCTCTTTGCTTTCATCTCACAATTCCTTAGGTTTCCTGCCAATGAGGTTCTGGAGTTCAAGGGATTCCTGGTGTTCTCCTTGAAAACGAGATCACATTGTAGATCTTGTAGACGTCTAAGATGACATTGTAGAAATTGATTGGCTAGAACCTGCACACAAACCCTTCATTATCTCTCCCAGTATCTGCCCTAATTAGCTGTACTTCCTGCTTGTACCAATAAGATAACTCAATTTAATTTCTGTGTTTCCCATCTAGTGATGTCCATTTGTATAAGCAAGGTCTTGGTTGCCTGAAAACTGTTTTAGTCATGAGGGTATTGAATCAACAGAAACGGATCAGTTCTTTTTATTTCTGTTTCCCAACTATACAACTGAACTCCATCCTTGATTCCAAATTTAGGTAAAATTGTAATTTCTGAAAAGCATGCTTCCTTTAAAAAAAAACAACAACAAAGACCAAATACCCTCTAACTTTAGTAAAAGACATTCCATGAAGCCATAACCAACCTGTCCCCCTTCAGAACTTTCTTTAGATGGAAAAAGGAGCTTCCTAGAAACTTTGTTTCAGACCATTTACATCTGGGTCTTCTTAACCTTTCTAAAATAAGAGATCAAGAAGCAAGTCTCCATCTCCTGTTTGCAGGCTCCTGAGAAGCATTTGGTTAGCCATTGAACAACAACTTGCTAGACTGAAATGCATCTTATCCTGAACATATGCCACAGTCCTGCTCCTTGTTCTACCCATGACCATAGTACAAAAAGAGCTCATACAGAACACAGAATAACAGAGTTGGAAGGGACCTTGGTGCTTTTCTAGTCCAACCCCCTGGTCAAGCAGCAGACCCTGTCCCATTTTCGACAAATGGTCGTCCAGTCCCTTCTTAAAATCCTCCAGGGTCGAAGCACCCACAACCTCTGAAGACAAGTCGTTCCACTGGTTGTTTTGTTCTTACTGTCAGGAAATTTCTCCTTAGTTCTACTGTCAGTTTAGTTAATTCGTTAGTTAGTTTTAGTTCTAGTGTTCTAGTTCTAATGCTGACTTTCTGCACTGTTTTCTCATTTTGCCTGACTTGGTGTCGTCACGCTTGAAAGAAACTTGGCTATAATCTGCAGAATCGCCTCCCTGATTAAAAGGGCCATAAAGCATTGACTCTTTCTCATTTTATAATATTGGGACAAGCAGCAATGAAGACTATTGCTGTGATTCCACTGGAATTGCATCCTAAAGTCTTGCACAATGCATGGATTACGCTTAGTCAGAAATCCTGAATTGCAACTTTCATGGGTGAGTCGCTGAAAAATTTAGAAGTCTACCGAGAAGTGGGTGTGCACTGCTCAAAAAGTAACTGGTGGAGTTGCTCACTGCTCACCTGTAGATGTACTGCAACATCCTGGAGTGAAGCACAGAGGTAAGAATTTTCGCCTCTCTCCTTTTAAAAAATACTTCTATGATCTGAATTGCAGAAATTGAAAGTACAGCTTTTACAAGAATGTCAACTATTTGTATTCTGTGCTGGAATTCTTGTTCATGCCTGTTAATAACTTCATACCAAATAGAACAGTTTTGAGTGACAGGGGCATTTATTGACTTGAAATTAAATTGACTGGAACAGAGTAAGAACTATGGACCACTACAGATCCTTGCTCTGGGGTTACCGTTTAGATCACACTGAAATATTTTAATGTAAGTTCTTTTGAAAATCCATGTCTTTGTCTGCCGGGAGTAACGTGACTCATGTGTGGGTTGAATGCTAAGTATCCCATTAATTTTTTTATATGGATAAAACCATAAATAGGAGTTAGGGGTTGAATATATCTGCCCTTCTTAACTTTGGATCTTCTACCAAAGAGATGTGCTTTGGTGGTTTTATTTCAGATTGCATGTAGTATTCAAGGTGAGAGATACTTTCTTGAACTGATATTGATGTAGTGTTACGGGTATGGAAGAAATTGCAACTGCCTGTTTCAGGAATTTTTTTTTTTTTAAAAAAAATACCTGGTCTAGAATACAGGAGGGGGTTCCATTTAATACTAAACTGGGGCACTCCGTGGTTAGTTTTTACCAAGAGGGGAAGGTAAACTAGGTTCTGTCATGTGATAGACAGTGATCACATCTGCTAACGTACTTGTAGAAGGTGTCCCATAGGTGCTTTTTCAAAAAAGCAACTGGACTTTCTTTGTTTTTTCTCTTGAAGAAATTTTGCTTCTCATCCAAGAAGCATCTTCAGTTCTAAAGAAACAGAACTGAGGATGCTTCTTGAATGAAAAGCCCAACTTTCTTTTGAAAAAGCACCTTTGGGACAACCATGTCCTGGATGACTAAGAATCTCCCTAGATTTGTAGAAGATGATTTTGACCTTCACAATATGTGGAAACAACATTGGATAGAAAATTGCTCAAAGTTTGCCTTGCCTCTTGAAAAAAACACCTGGATTTGACCAGCCCTATGCAATATGGACAACACTGAACTGAATTCGCACTGGCCCTGGCAGATATGCTGATGCCCTCTATAAGTGGGGCAAAATACCATCATTGGAGTGTGACTGTGGGACCGAAAATGACTATCCAACATATAGCGACAGAGTGCCAAAACAGAGCTTACAATGGAGATGTTGCTGCTTGGTAAATGAAGCAAAAATATAGATCTGTAATCTAGACATATGTTTATAATATTTTAGATTTTATATTTCGTATTTTTATCTCTTGTGGTTTGTTTTATCAAAATTGATGTGAATATGCCATGATAAATAATAATAGTGATCCCATGTAGACAAACCTCATGACATACAGTGCAAGGCTAGATAGGAAGGGCTGAGGTGGACCTTTTTCTGCCAGCTTGCTCTCCAGCTGCATTCTGATGCACGCAGCTCAGCTAGCAGTTTATCACCTCTGTGCGGTTACAGAGGAAAGGAATCTGGTTACCTTTATTTGCAAGTGAGTCTGGATCTTTGCATGCATTTGAGAAGTTGTGGGTGTATAGAATTGTAGCTCCTTCCAGTCACTTGTGTTTATCGCTTCTATTTATTTTTCTATTAAATGTGTTCGATCAATTGCAAATGAAGTCTACTATAAGACCATTATTATAGTCTTAGAAATCTATGATAAGACCAGGAGCCCTGCTGGCGAAGTGGTTACAATGCAGTCCTGCGGGCTTACTCTGCCCATCGTCTGGAGTTCAGTCCTAATGGGGCTCAAGGTTGACTCAGCTTTCCATCCTTCCAAGGTCAGCAAAATGAGAACCCAGTTTGTTAAAGTATGCTGATGTTGTAAACTGCCTAGAGAGTGCTGTAAAGCACTATGAGGCGGCATTTAAGTCTAAATACTATTCCTATTACTATGATGAGGCACAGTTAAGGGGATGCTCCTATTGTGAGGAATCTCTGGAGACCCCTGCACCATCACCAATGTCAGCAGCGGATTTTTGTGGCTACTTAAATAGGATGTCCTGAGGAATTAATTCTCCCTGTCACCGTTATTGTGTTGTTCCCTTCCTCTTGCTGAAGTGCCCACTTTTATTGAGAGGAAACAAGGAAAGCAGAGACCTTTGTTCCTTCCTCTCACCTGTTCATCTAAAGCAGTGGTTCTCAACCTGTGGGTCGGGACCCCATTTGGGGTCGAATGACCAGTTCACGGGGGTCGCCAAACAATGCAGTCCGCCATTTTTTCCCCCTTTTCCTTAGCTGTGCTCCTCCCTTTTATTCTATTGGCTTTGAAAGCCAATAGAATAGACTCTCTTGAATAGAGTCTAATTCTATTGGCTTTCAAAAGCCAACAGGAATTGTCCAGGCTGTCTCTGCCCTGCTGAGCCCGCCAAAAGTCCCATTCTGCAAACGGTGCTGCAAGTTGTCTGCAGCGAAGGCGAGCTGTCTGGAAGTTTCCACCCCTGCCTGCTGAGCAACTACTCAAAATGGAAGTAAAAGAGGGCCAGGGGTGGGAGGTGGGAGGCCGGCGGGTGCAGGGAGGGTTGCTGGCTCACGTGGGGCCCGACGGATGCCTTACCTCCTTTGGGCTGGGCCAGCTGGTGGCCCAGCCGGTGGTCGGCCTGCGCCGTCTCTGCCGCTTGCCAGCTACGCCTCGGCCGGCGCAGGGGACAGCATCACGCATGCGCGGCGCTCCCGGACAGGGAAAGTCCTCGACTTACGACCGGTTGGGTAGTCCTCGACTTACGACCGGTTGGGTAGTCCTCGACCTATGACCGGTTGAGTAGTCTTTGACTTACGACTGGTTGGGTAGTCCTCGACGTACGACCAGTTGGGGGTCGCGGCATTAAAAAGGTTGAGAACCACTGATCTAAAGAAGGCAAAAGATCAGGGAGACAAAGCAAAACGAGGTAGACTTTAGTGTCCCTGCAAGGAGGATCAGCTGTTGGATTCTCTTAGACACATACCTGTTCCTTCCCATTCTTTCCCTGAGGACAAATTGTACAAGGTTAGAGTGTGTTAACTTAGCCAAGGAGAAGCTCAATTATTTCATTTGGAACTATTAAACCATAAAGATGGAGAGTTCTTTCCCCCCAGGTTATGTTGGTAAATAGGGCACTACAGGCTACTGTCCCTGTGAGTTTTACTCTGCTAGTCATGACTGACTTTAGAGGGCAAAATTCATCTCCATTTCTTAAGCCAAAGAGGACAAAGCTGTTCCATTAAACAACAATGCTATCAACCACTTCTCCTACTGAGAAATGAGCAACTTCTAGTCTTGGTAGGAGAAAACACACACACATACACACGCATATATAAGATCAGTGTATGCTGTACACTACATAGAGCTTGAAGCTTAGAACTTGGAGTAGGTCGTTTTCTGCATTATTCAGTAAAAGCATCTTGGCAGAACTGTGTCCTTCAGTCTCTGAGTGTAAGCCTTCTACTACTGGAGGAGGCAAGAGAACAAATAACAAAATTATAGAGTTGGAAGAGACCTTGGAGGTCTTCTAGTCCAACCCCCTGCTCAAGCAGGAGACCCTATGCCGTTTCAGACAATTGTTTTAGAAACTAGTTTTGCCACTTTCTAACCAAACTAGCTATGACATAGGATATGCTTGTAGCCAGCAACTGCAACCTTGCTTTCTTTTTTTTTTTTTTTATTGAAAATTTTTACATTTTACAAAAACAAATCCCCTTCCCATACCCCCCCCTACCTCACCCCCCCCCTTCCCAACCTCCCAAACCCTCCCCTGGACTTCCCAGAGCTGAGTACAGGCTTAATTAAAAAAAGAAAAAGAAAACTTAAAACACTTTTAAAACCTAAACAAATTTAAATACAATCATCATTCTATATAAGCTCCCTCCAAAAACACAAATTTAAACATTACTTTCTTTGAATATCTATATCTATAATATAAAATCTAATTTCTCCCTCTTTCTTTATCCTAAAACGAAAAAATAAACATACAAATCTTTGTTATACCATTAAAGCTAAATACTCTTAAAGAACTTAAAGTAAGTACATATTTCCTTCAATCTTCATAATCTTCTCTCCTATCCAAAAAGAAAAAAAAAAAAAAAAAAAAAAACAAAAAAAAAAAACTTAAAAAACCTATAAGTCCTAAACAAATCTAAGCACATTTAATTAAACAAATTATTTTGTCTTAAAAATATTAATAATAATATTTAAAAACTAAAAACACTTTTAAATCCTAAACAAATCTAAATACAATCATCACTCTATATAAACTCCCTCCAAAACCACAAATTTTTAAAATTTAAAACATTAGAATCCACTCACTAAAATAAGCAAATTATAATCCCTTCAAAACACAAATTTAAACAATATTATCATTAAAGGTTCAAAACTTAAAACAACAAAGTTAATAAACACATTAAACATTTCAATCTTCACCAATAACTAATTCCATCCGTAAAAAACTACATCCTTATCAATCTCAATTATATTAGTATTATTAATTATTCACATTCCAGTTTTTTCCATTCTCCATTCTTCCATTCTTCCATTTCCCTTCTCCATTCTTGTATCAAACTCGTAAGAAATGCTGCAAGTTCTGCCTTAGGAGACTGCTCCAAAATTCCTGAATCTCCCATCGACTCCGAAGCCAATAAGGGTTCCTTAAATTCCTCCTTGTATTGATCTTTACAATTGTAAGTTGTACAAGTTATCCTCTGCCCGTTCCTCTCTTGTTGATGCCCCTCAGACTGAGATTTCCCAGTTTCCATTTCAGGCAACAATTCCACCCTTAAAGATTGCTCCAAAGACTTTGTAGGTCTAACATCTCCCAGAGATTCAGAAACCACTAAATATGAAACTTCCTTAACCTTCTTCTGTTGCTGCTTTTCTTTGGGATTATATACTGCACAAGTTGTCTTCTGCTCCTCAACCTGGACTTGTTGAGGCCTACCTTGCTTTCTTGACATCGTTTTCTTGTTAGATTTAGGCATATCTTTCCTGTCTTAGC